TATATGAGACAATGCTCGGCCAAACTAATATGGTTGTGTGATCATATTAAACTGGTGTTAGCAGATCCGTGATGGATGAGTTTGTTAGAATTAGACACTATAAGTAGGCTACGGTCTCCTTTCCCCTTCTCATTCTAGCTATATACTTATCACGGTTTATCCATCAAGATTGTCTAAGGGAAGAGAAGGAGAGGAAGGCCTAGTCCCGTATTTGTACAGCTCCGTCCGTATCGTTCGACTCAATAACAATGATTAGTTAAACCGATTATGCGATTTCGATTCGCTCTTAAGTATTTTAAATTCTATATACGAGTATTAGATCATTGAATTTCTTACTGAAACCTCATTTATCCCAATAGCTCACCGCAAAGTTCAGATTCGCAATTTGGATCGAACTCGCGTTGCCTAGAAGAGAGAGAGAGAGTAAAGACAGCGCCAGGTACATTGAAATCGGTCCATAAAAATTGATATAGTGATGCGTACCGCTGCATATTCTTATGGGATGGCAAGTACAGACTCATGGTCCACTTGTTTAAATGTCGATTCACGATCTGTCACGTCATTTAATACGTCGAGCAAGCGCATCGATCTTAGCATTTGTCATATTATTCGAGAGTAAACGCGTGAATGTACATGTTTGGTCCCCTCCCAAAGTGAATTATAAGTGGGTGGATAGGGATGAGACTGATCGTGCCAATTGCCAAGTACTTGGGTGAGGGGGGCTGTGTGTGTTGTTGCCAATGTCTCATGACCCATGCTTGCCTCCACGTGAACTTCACAGGCCATTCCAATTCAATTCGCCGCTCGAAGGGGAATCACAAGCCCCCACGCAACTCCACAACCACTGAACAATTTTGAGCAAGCTGCGAACGCATTACCCCATCTTGCCTCTTGCTTCGCCATGGAATAAAGTCCCCGTGTCGATGAAATCTTTGAAGTTTATGTTCGTGACATTTTGGCTCAACCTGAGTTTAGGATGGACCGAATGATTGGAGCCGTCAAATCCGACGTTATTTGCGGTGGTAATTTTTGTTAGCTCAATATTAGCAAAAAGCAATACATTTCGCCGGGAAAAATTATCAAAAAAGTCTTAGACTTTTTTTTCTTTTACCAATTGAGTCATAAACATTTTGCATTTGTACCAATTCAGTTAATCCGGCCGGAAATCGATGACATGGATGCCGAGCGTCCTACGCGGTGCGACCGGCAATGGCGTGGACATTTTTCAATAAATTTTTCAAATTTTTTTCATTTTTTTTCTTTTCTTTCTCTTTCTTTTTTTATTCCCTTCTTCCTATAGCTGATCGCCGGACCTCGGCAACCCGCCAAAAGCGAGGGCCGGCGAGCTCGACCTCACTAGCCACTGGCGAGACTCGACCTTGACGTTGCTAGCGAGGTTGGCCACGCCAGGAGGAGCGGACGAGGCTCTCCATCGCTGGCCTGGCGAGGTCGAGCCTCGCCCTCGTGGCCACTGATGAAGCTCGAACTCGCCAACCCGACGATGGCAAGTCTCACCCTCACCGGCCCTTGCCTCTAACTGGCTGCCGAGGTCCGACGACCGGCTAGAGGAAGACAAAAAAGAACGAGAAAGAAAAGAAAAAAAAGGAAAAATAAAATAAAAAATCCGAAAAATTATTTTAAAATATCCACGTCATCGCCAGCCGCACCACGTAGGACGGCTGGCATCTATGTCAGCGATTTCAGGTCAAAATTAGATGTACTGAATTGGCACAAATGCAAAAGATTTATGACTCAATTTAAAAAAATTATGGATGAATTAGCACAATTGCAATAGGTTTAAGACTTTTTTAGTTATTTTCCTCATTTCCCTGCTTCAAGGTTCAAATGTGAGTGCATCGTCCCGTCTCGACGCGTGGATCATCCGGACCAGCCACCCGCCGCATTCATCCATATCTAGGTCAGGCGGTCCAGTTTCCCCTCATAATCGATTCCCAAGCGCACACTCTCCCTCTTCATCTCGCCCTAATTATTGAGCCGAGAGAGCACGCAGCTATGGTTAGACAGAAAGAACAATCTTTCACTGTGCTAACCAGAAGAACAACGAAGAGATTCCATTAGGGTTTGCGGTCTAATGTGCCGATGCGTAATCAAGAACAGATCGAGGGAATGAATGGTCCTCGGCACCAAAGCTCGATCATGGCGAAATCTTGAGCGGTTCCTGGAACAATGATGATGCGTTTGACGGGAATGTGCCGACATGACGGACCTGTCAACAAAAAACACGAGAAACAGCTCATGCTGGTTCAACCCTCTTGTCCAGATGGAATTATCACAAAGATCCAAGATTAATGTCTGGCCCGGCTTGTAGTACGGTCATTACCCCCCTTATGATTGCACGTGGGACTGACTGGAGAACCCTAATGGAAGACGGATTTGTGCAAGCTGATCATGCTCATCTCGACGGGTGTTTCCGCGGATCTTAAGATCGTTTGTCTTACTGAAAACTTCATTATAAAAGATTAGTTTTTATATGTTTGATGTTTCAGAAAAAATAAATTTCATTCTTATCAAAAGAATAAGTCGTTTTCCTTTAATCTAAATTTATTATTTTCAATTCATGAAAAACGATTTTCGTGAATCGATTAGTTTTCTGTCATTCAAACACCGAAAAGTCGGAAAATAATTTCCCGAAAGCAGTTTTTCTCCCAAACAAACAAAGATTTAGAGCGAATTTCACTGCAGAAAAGATGGCTAGGTGAGGCCGGTCAAAGAAAAGGGGCGAGTGGGAAATTGTGAAATGGCAAGTTTGTTGACTCGGCGAGGGATGATCAATTATTATTAGTCACTATTTATCTACAGTAATCACGACTTAAGGGCGCTCTAATGCGAACTAAAGATCCCCCCTTAAAAGTCGACAGACAGGCAAAAAAGCATGTCTAATGAAGAAAACATGTTGAGGGGGAGGGGTGGTCTTGTCAAAATCGTATCATAATTTACGGATTCAAATAGTTTTCCTCTTTTTCCTCATCTTCATAATTTCCAAGGAAGAAAATAGATGGGTCACATCTAGAAATACTCATTTTGACCACCGAGTCATAAAAATTTAACCCAAAGATGCGCACATTTTTTTTTTCTTTACACTATAGAAGAAGATAACATTGCTAGGGTGGATAAGAATTAATCAAGTGGAGGAAGAAAATTGATGGTGTCTTCTAGAAATGATCATTTGACCGAGTCACAAAATTTGCCCCAAAAATGTGCACATTTTTTATTCATTATAGAAAGAGATAACATTGCTGTGGTGGATTAGAATTAATCAAGTGGAGAAAGATTTTGAAGATTCATATAATTGCAATAAGAAATATATAATTCTATGTACCAAATCTAAAAAAACCCTTTGGACTTTGACAAGTACAACTTTTTCTTAATCAATTACTTAAATTGCGTTTTACTGGTAACATAAAAAGCAAAACAACTTTAATAAAGTAGATCGACGCTGCGCAAATGTCAACATTTTGATAATGCGCATGAAAAGGGGAAATTACCCAATGCCAATTCATTCACGAACTTTTCAATTTTATCAATTTAATCATCAACTATTACACAAAATTCCAAATGTAGTTAATCTAATCAATTTTTATCGAAAATCGTTGACGTTGTGGTCCAATCATCGCTGGTCATCCTATGTGACACACTACCACGTAAGTGATTTCCAAAGAAATTTAGCTAGGAGGACTATATTGAAATTTCACGTAAAAGTTTAAGACTAAATTAGCAAAAGTGAAAAGTTTAGGATTGAATTGACATTGTTATGATAATTGAAGCATTTCTTGGAAGTGTATTTGTTCAATGGGGCTTTGAGTGCAATGGTATAGACAAGATGCTTCTGATGTTGATAGTCCTTTACTGTTTAAAAAGTAAAAGATGGATGGGGAGTCAAGTTACCCGGTGTTAAAAAATTCAACCCAAAAATTTAAATCAATAAACGGAAAAAGACCACATGTATATAAATATCATATAAACCCTAATGTCAGGAAATATTGAATATTTTCTACCCTACCTCTCACGTCCAAGCCGGATTAGGAGTGGCAAATGCAATTTGACTAACATGGTAGGCTTCAAAAGCCTTCATTTAAATTTTCAGAACAGTTAGTATTGATTTTAAAAAATCTCACATGGTATTAGATGCTGAGTTCAAATCTTTCCATTCTCCTTATTTGCCTCCCCATTAGTTGGTGCAAGAGGGATACTTTGGGATGATAGGGGAGATGGATTGATCGGGTTTTGTAAATTCGTGGCACGAACTCAACACAAATGCCGATTTGCTATTTACTGCTTCAAGGTATGAAAGCAATCTGAATAGAGCTTACGGTCGCTACCGTTTGATCGCAGGGAGTAGTTGCGGTGGCTAGGAGAATATAGGATCGATCATATCTACAAGGAAGCCGATCAAAGCGCGGACAAGCTGAAAAGATGGGGATTGAAGGATCTATTGACATTGTCAATGCATGTCATGTTCCAGATGATGTTGAGACCGTGTTATTATCTGATAAGGGTATAGGGGCCATGATGTCTAGACTTGTGCCGTGGATCAGTCTCCGAATGAAAGCCTTTCCATTTACAGAAAAAGAAAGAAAGGAAACTGCTTGGCACTACTTATAACAGCGTTTATCATTTCAAGAAGCTGCCATGTTTGTCTTCAAGGTTGCTTCAGCTACAGAACGTGTATTGCGCACAACACACTGTGCTTCCCAACGCATCACGGTAAAGCTAAGGCAACACCTAATAGGATTCGAAATATATTCTTTTTCCACAAGGGGAGAGAGAGAGAGAGAAAGAGAGAGAGTTGCGGGGACACAGACAACTCCGTGAAGACTTACCACTTTGATGCAGTCTCTCGTTTTTTTTCCTCAGCTGTCCACATCACTGCTGGCCTTTTAGCCGACCCAACTTCAATGCTGTCCCAAACTTCCCTTCTTCCTCCCAGACACACCTCCCTTTCACCGTCTCCCTTACGCTCTATCCCTTACAAATACTTCTCCGTTACGCCTTGAGCACCGAATATGTGCCCCTTTTAGCTTCCACATTATCACCATTTCATAGATCTCGCAGCTTTTCCTCTGTTCTTTTTCATGTTTGGGGGGATCATCATACATCTCTGAGATATGGATCTTCAACTTGGTCTAGCTCTCCCAATTCATGACCCTGCCAAAGGGTCTGAGCCAAAAGATCAAGAAGGCCCGTACAAGAAGTGGGTCAGCAACAAAAGGTGTCATGGAGAGGCATTTGAGGAAGACTCCTCAGGGAAATCGCAGTTGTTGGCGTGGAGCGGCAGGCCGAACGAGGAAGACGACCCATGTGGGAGGCGTGGCAAGTTTTCTTGCTCCATAAACAAGTATGTCATGCCAAGCCAATCCTAGTTTTATATTCTAATTATCATCGATGCAAAAAACAGTTTCACTTGCAACAGCAATATTTGTTGGAGGTGAAAATCACTATGGTACGCATAATTTTTCAGGTTTAGGTATAATGAAGGAGCTGATGATGATGATCAGGTTGTGGGGTGGCCACCCATCAATTCCTGGAGGAAGGAGTTCATACACGGGCATCCACCGCACCGAGATCTTCACGAGAATGTCCGTCCGGCTGGGAAAGAAAATGGTGAACCCGGTCATAACATGTTCGTGAAGGTGAAAATGGAAGGAGTGGCCATCGTAAGGAAGATCAACTTGAGGACCTACCAATCTTATAACAGTCTTAAAGGTGCCTTGATCGCCATGTTCTCAAGATGTAAGCAGACATTGCCCCAACACTCTAATACTACGTTGTACTTCCTTAGATTTCCTACAAGCGAGCACTACTCAAAATCAGTCTTTTTTTTTTTTTTCAGACAACAGAGATGAGTTCAAAGATCATGCCGGCTACGCTCTCACTTACCAGGACAAAGAAGGAGACTGGCTCTTGGCTGGAGATATTCCATGGCCGTACGTTCATCATGCTTCTCAGTGCTAATTTTATTGTCAATTAATTGTTCAAACTTATGTAACGGTACCTCATAGAGAAAAATAGGTGGTATTTATTAGAAATAATAAGAGCTGGTGGAATGAATTTCATTTCCCAGACGGTCGTGAATTGGTGGCAAATATGCTCTTACAGAAACTAGGGTGGTCATTTAGCACAAATAACCATTTTCGATTAAGTAATGCTTGTGGAGATAGTAGTTTCTTCCGGTGGACAAATTCATTGTAGAAGTCATTTTTCACCCCTAAAGATCACCATCACCCTCCATGGAAATAGCCCATAAGCACATAGCTTCACTTAAGAAAGCAATTATGCAATTGACATTGTATACATTGGTCATAGAATGTCATGCAGATTCGAACGAAATTATGTAAGGTGAAAATTTAATGTGATTATCTACCTGCAGGAACTTTGTGGAGTCGGTACGTCGCCTGGAGATACAAAGGACTAGAGATTGAAACCAGATTCGTTCAGGCCAAAACCATACCATGTCAAGCTCGAACATCGTTGATCCCTTCTGAGATTGCACTGGTGTCCAGCAGAAGTACGTCTTTGATATGTCGATTTGCTTGAATAAGATGATTGTAAGAAATTATTAGGCAGTCTAAGTTAGCTTGTTTACCAGCCAAAAACAGTTGATGAGGCCAAAAGTTAAGCCTGTTTCCCAGCCGTTTAAAAATACCTCGTTCCTCCTCCACGTATGTAACTTCTTGATTTGAAGCCTTGTAAAGTTGCTGGAATTGTGAGCTTTTCGCTGTCTGAAGAGCACAAACATAGAGCATTTTCATACCGACGTCAGCATATACTAGAGGAATTGGTGGGGACAAATGCAAACTCTTTAATAGTGCAACATATCTGTTGTGATCCCGTGACGGGATTGCGATCATCAGCTTTTGGTTAGTCATTTATGTATCCAATGGGACCTGACTAGCGAAATCTAGCAAGAATTAATATGTCTCACCTCATCGATTTCACGATCAAGAACTTAAAAGTTCAGACAGATCAGACAGTTCCAAAATCTTTAAGTTGGGCAATGCATCGAGTTTGAGCTGACCTTAGTAGTATTAATGTATTGAAATCACTTCCTATTATCGACAATTACTAGATTATCACAGTTTATAATTGGCGACGTAAGTAATAGAGAGAGGGCAGCGAAGGAGGAATGTCGATCCAGGCGGTAGCGGTAATTAGCGATAAGAGATGGCGAAAACAAGATCGAACCTTTGATCCAAACTAAACCAAACCATCTTTTATGGTTTGATTCTGTTCAAAAACAAATTTTTCAAGGAAAAGCAATTCATTAACAAAAGTTTCGAAATCAACCTGTGCTGTTCATTAATTTTTCTAATAATCTTTTTCGATAGATTTGAAGTGGCCTATCTTCTCTAATTTGAAGCAGCTTAATTTTTTTCATTTGTATAGATCTATTATGTGTGACTTGTGAGCTTCTATGATTTGGTCTTTTCATTTAGTTGTGCTATATTAAAATTGAGATGTTTGATAATTTCATGTTGCACTTTTGAAATTTGAACCAATAATGTTATGGAAAAAAATTCTGAGAAAACATGAGTTTGGGCTGTAAATCTTTTTCCAAGTAACATATAGAATTTTGTTTTTTCGGTTAAAAATGAAAGTGTTTTAGTAATATGAGTTGGGGCAGGGTTCACTCCGATATGGATTGCTAAAATTATCTAAAAATGGGTCAATGTGGGTTGCATAAATCGATTTGAATCATACTCATTTTTCGATCCACCCAAATTCGACCCGACCCACGTATTTGACATGTCTAATGTCGAATCTCTTGTCCAACAACTCCAATTTTCAAGAGGTTTCAAGTCAAAAGCAATGAGATGGCCTGTTACAAGAAATTCATGCTATTTCCTCTCTTGCTTCTCACCCTGTCGTCCACAACTGGCGATGGAGTTGGAGTCCTTGCTTCCCGTCACCTTTTTGATGCAGGCTTGCGGCTTGCCCAAGATTCCCGAGCTTCCCAAAGCCTGAGCTACCTCCCGTTCCCACGACCCCGAGTTTGCCCGAGCCGGAGTTACCGTCACTGCCAAAACCTGAAGTCCCCGACCTTACTGAAGCCCGAGTCGCCTCCACTGCCGAAGCCCGAGGTCCCCAAGGCGCCTGAAATACCAGTTGTTCCTGAGTTGCCGAAGCCCGCCTTGCCTACCAATCCCTGAGCTCCGCGAAGATTTACCCGCCATCCCTTCCCTCTTCCCACCCCACTCATCCAGTCCTTGATCGAGCAATCTCCTCGGTTTAACATCATCTCTCTTGTTATCATTCAGTTGGCAACTCATGCCATGTTATTCTGCGGCTCGTACCATGCATTTTACATAGATGGCCATGTTATGATATCGGTTTGCGAATAACGACGAGCATGTGAGGCCAACTCAATCCACAGTTTGCAGAATGAAGAAACCCTCGCCGGTTTTGTCGAGCGCATCCAACCAGAAGGATGTGCAGTTAAATTCAAGACGTCGCACAACTATGGGCTAGACGCACTATATCGCTGATGAGTAGACAATCGTTTCGCAGGAAACACAGCTTGCATGTCACCCGAAATGCACGGTGCATCGCTGCTCCGTGTCTATGGCGCTCACGGGTAACCTCGGCATGACAACTAGGAAATTCGCCTACTTTCACAACACTTCAACTCGACCAATCTCTTGAAAGTGAATTCCTCGTCCTTATCTCACGGAACTAACCGTTCTACTCAAGAATTGCTCAGCACCACTTAACTAGCAGTTACAACGAGAACCGCAATAAAAGCAGCGGAAAAGTTATGGCAAACTTGGCTTCCTGCTTACAAGTTGATAAGCCACGAGATGTCTGTCAAAGAAAAAAGTTGGTGAAAATTGCAAAAAACAAAAACGTGATGGTGTGTGACGATCACGGTGGGACTCGAACCCACAATCTCCCGCTCCGGAGGCGAGCGCCTTATCCATTAGGCCACGCGATCATTACGTACCTTTCCTCGCATATTCAAAATAATTTACGCAATTTTAAATCGCGCCAAGATTTTTATATTCTCTAAACTGTAACGTTTAACTTAGATCTAGTCCTTATTAAGTAGGCAAAACTTGACCATCTGCTTTATCTTTGCTCAGAGGTTCAACAATCATTTTTTATACTTAAATTGATGAAAGATTAGACGCTCGTCACTTATATTCTAAAGGTTCCATCGATTAGCACTAGAGCCGCATCTTAACTCGAGGCGGGGCAAATAGAGCGCGCAATCCGGCATGCCCCCGACGGGTTGAGGATTGGGGCAGTACATACTTGCCCGGCACGGCATAGAAGCGGATGCGAGAATATCCAGATTTGCGGCGGAAACCTGATTCTGTCCGATCAAATGGCACAAGAGACACCGGATAAACCTCCAGGCCATCAGATGATCAGATGTCTGAAAATGCCTTTGTTAGTTCTTATCGTACGAGGACACTAAGGATTTAAGTTTCCTTTCCTTTGTATCTTTTTGCCAGAGAGTAATAAGACAGCAGCAGGAAGGAAGGAAACAAAGACAAAATTACTTGCACTGAAATCGCTTTGCGAACTACGTGCTCTTCTTTTCCCACTTCTCACTGAACTACATAATTACACATCTCAAGGAGAAGAATACAAAAAGTCACACCCCCTCAAAAAATACAACTTGCTAGCCACTTGAAGAAACAGATCCTTCGCCCCTGACAAAAGCGGCGGATCTAGATTGCATCGGCCGAAGGCAATGCAGATGTGGCCTCCGCCGTCGGCGACTCGGACGAATTGGGACAGCAATAGTGGAACTCTACTTGCAGTCTTTGATGGAGAGACAAAATAGAGGCGGACCCCTTTTTCTCGTCTTCCTCGAGTTCTTGGACCGGTATAGCAGAAAGAAACCTCTTAATGTACTCCCCACAACACTCCCTTCCTGCACATATGACCTCCTCCCACCCATCTTCTTTCTTCTCGCTCTCGTCCTCGCCCTCCTCCGTCCCCGAGCCCCGACTCGCGCCGTTCTCGGCCTTTCTGTACAGCGCAGCGGCCTCATCGAATTTCAAAATATATGCACGGTCACAACCTTCAAAAAGCCGTTCCCCCAATGAGTCGATGACGTAATAGGCATGATCTTCCACCATCAAAACAAAGAAATGATCATTCCAGCTCACTATGTATATTCCCCGCCTGCTCTCTTCAGCTTCAAGCATCATAATTTTCGCCCACATGTCATCAAATGACATAGCTTCCTTCAGAGCCTCGAATTTCTCCGGGCTGAAAAACCCGATGAATGACTTATCAGAACTGATTGTGAAAGGCCTCATTCCGGCTTCCAAAACGGTCTCGAGATCAAAGTGTTTATTGGGAAACCTCATGAGGTAGGTCTCATCGGTGCAAAGCCTCTGCCATTCTAGAGAACCGTCTTTGATGAGGGAATTGAATTGAGCTCTCGTCGGGAGATTATATTGGTTTGAGTGAAGAAAATTAACAATCACGGCAGCTACTGCAGAACAAGCGCTTTCTCCACATGCCTTTTCACTTCTCTGATCAAAGGAAGCAAAGAAGACATTTGTTCTTAGTTTTGTTTGCCCATCTCTGCTGACTAGTTCTTTCTCCTCCCAAAAGCAGTCATCTTCTTGACAGTCCATTTCCGGAGGAGTCTGCTCTGCAGCAATTTTCTGCAATTTGCAGCCAATATCGACACATTAGACCGCCAAATCAAATGCATAGCATAATAATAAAATTGCAACAGGGAGTGCTAAATAGCATACTTGACGCCAAGATCAAGTGCCGCATGCTCACACAGGATCCTATTGACATGGGGTGGGTACATGACAAGGACTAGATCATACTAAACGAGGGCACTATGAGTGCATTGAAAATGGCAACATTTGTATATTGAATATGGTTAACAAGTGTCCCCGGTACTCATTAACAAGACCCTTCTATGAAATAAGAAATATTTGTTTCTTAACATAATCATACACAAGTAAATAGACTCGCAATCTTTGAAAAAATTCCATTTCTGGCTCTGTCACTGTTCTTAACACAGATGATGCATAGTCAGCATAACGAATGTCGAAAGTTATTTTGATGTAGACCTCAGAAGGTTAAGCCATGGGGAAGGCCATTGAAGCCATGATACTGAAGTTGACTTGCAATGCTTTTTGTACGTACAGCAAATAATATGCTCAAAGGACGCAACGCAAAAACTAAGGGATGTTTGTGGTGCAGTTCGATTCGGTCCAGGCTACAACCTGAGCTATATTCTATTCGCATCAGCCGATAGATACGACATACAAGAAAGCGACCCGGATATGTATTTGTTCTCATCATGCCGGACCATATGAGTTTCAGCAGACTCTTCTTGTCGCCGTGTCGGCATGTATAATGCATGGCGGTGTGAACCCAAAAAATGGAGCAATGAAAGTCGTTCGTACCGTTTCAGAACCGGAGGGAGGCGAGTCAACGGCGGGGACGTCGCTGACGCGGAGGTCAACGTCGGCCTCCGGATCCACGTCACGCCCATCGGGCCCCTCAGCCAAAGGCAAAGGCAAAGGCTCGCCTTTACTCCTCGTCGCCGGTTTGAAGCTCAGTCGCCGTCGCTTCCACGACAGGAGCCCGCTCTGCTTGACCGGCTCCGGGCTCGAGGCCGACGACCCCGCCTCGGCCCCGGGGCTCGGCTCGCGGCCGCCGCTCTCGGCGGCGGCGGGGCCCGCCGAGTCGGGCCGGGGGGGCGACCCGTCCGAGTCGGAGGGGCTGGCCCGGGCTTCTTGACTTTTCTTCTGCTTCTTCATCACGGCGTTCACTATTTTAAGGAACCCATCTTCCCTGTCTGACCTGGCCGTCGAGCTCTGGCGTTGCACGACTTGTTCCAATGCCGAGTCGCTAGTAGAACTTCTGACTTCCGAGAAGGTGACGCTCACCTGTGTAATTGATAACGATAGAAACTAATTAATACGAAAATAATCTTTACCCCATGTCTTTCTTTTTATTAGCGTAATGGGGTGACCCAAATATCAAGAAAGCGAATATTTGACCATATAATTTGCAAAAAGAAATGACGTCAAGGGTGTTTAATGACCCAATACAGTTCTAGAACAGGTCCAAATCAACCTCCAAAGCTTTATTAAAAAGAAACTTTTGGATGGTCGGAATATGTAGGGAGAACTGGTCAGCAGTACATGCACATTTAGATCGGAGTGAACTGATTTTCAAGAAACTTGTCTTTTTTCTTTGAGCAAATTCAAGAAACTTGTTCAAATGACAAGAAAACCTAAAAAGAAGAAGATGGGTATGCGCCAAAAAGGGAACTTTTCTCAGAAAACGATGAACTAATTTTCAAGAAACTTGTTTTTTCTTTGAGCAAATTCAAGAAAATTGTTCGAATGACGAGAAAAGCTAGAAAGAAGGAGATGGGTATGCCCCAAAGAGGAAACTTTTCTCAGAAAACGACGAACTGCGAGGCTTCGAGGCGAGGAAGAGAGACGCGTGTGTGGTAAATTTATAGACGTCGGACTCGCTCACCATGAGAGTGGCTTCGCAGGTATCGCCAGCTACCTGTAAAGAGATGGGAAGCTTCTTCACGACTGCGGACTCCATCTTCGAGGCCATTTCCGCCAAATTCAACGACACCTTCCCGATAACCGCCAACCTGGGCTTCGGTCCTGCGCAATCCCCCTGCGAATTTGACCCAGTTTCGATCGTCATCACGCGCCGTCCTCTCCTCGACATCCGATCAAACAAAAAAGGACAGCACACAAACACGCGAAGAGGATCATCACCCAGCTCGAACTTACGCGTAGCACTTTGAAGGAAACTTCCCACGAGGCGAAGGAGCTGCCGAAGCCGCACGCGCACTCGATCAGCTCCCCCTCGTCCCATTCCAAGGCCGCGGCTCCGGTCAGGAGCCTCCGCGCCGTGACCTGCGTCCGGCGCGTCGCCGTCCGCGGGAACTGGACGAGACCTTGCTTGGGTCCTCGCCACTTCACCTCGAGGAAGATCGCCTTCGCCTCCTCCTCCTCCTCCTCCTTCCGCTGCTCCGCACCGTGGCCATCGACCTCCGCTCTCCCCGCGAACGCGCCGAGGCCCTCCAGCCTCAGGCGGCGGAACTTGACGCGGAGCTTCCTGGTTCCCTCGGGCTGCCACGGCGACCACTTCCCCATATCTCCTCCTCCCTCTCCTCCTCGTTAGCCACTGAATCTCATCTGCCCATGCATATACACGCGAGAGAGAGAGAGAGAGAGAGAGAGAGGTGTGAGGTTTTGCTTAATGGCGAATCAAGGAGGAAGGAGACTGGTTCTTGATTGGATCGGTGACGGGACGGGGCTTAAAGGGAATTCCCTTCTTTCCTTGTGCAATTTCCTTTTGCTGGGGGCGAGACGTTCGACCCGTGTTTCCGCGTGAAACGACGACGCACGCGTCTGTGCAATGGCGCAGAACATGCACTTTTTTTTTTTTTTTGGTGTGCTAGGGGCGAATTGCAATTTGGCCCCTTGATGGTAGATGGTCGCGGGCATTGCAATTTGCACATCAGTCCCTAACTTTTCGATTTTTTTCAAAAAAATTTCGAAGATTTCGAACAGGTTTGCAATGTCGTCCCCCCCCCCCCCCCCCCAAGCATTGACTTCCGCGCAAATTTTGAGCGGAGCTCTGATCGCGTGCTTGTCGCTCGAGCTTTTTCTTCGTTTTTCCTGGCTAGCCCGACGGCGAGGATGAGGATTGGCGGGTCCATTTAACGTGGGAAGCGACGACGCGAAGGTGGGCAAAATGATTTTCCTGAAGTAAAAGATAGTGAACAAATAAAAAGAACCAAAAAAAAAATGGAGACTCGTCATGGTGCTGAAACCATTGGTGGCTGCCGCTGTTGCCACTATGTTACTAGTGAGGGTCGCTACGGTTTTTTAGGAGTCATTTTGCCCTCATCGAAAGGTCAGGTGATAAGCACATAATCGGGGGCTCGGATTGTAAATTGATTTGAGTTCACGACAGGGAAGACATTGCTGTTAGATTCCGAAAACCAATGAACGGTTGAAAACCATCAACGAAACAGGATCATACATGTATAATTCATTGAGAAAGCATAAACACGGAAGCGTACCTGAATCCATAGCGTAGACTGTTGTTCGGTGTCGTGCGGGTAGCCTTCCAAAACAATACGTTTTCTCTGAGAGTTCCCTTTGAATTCTCTTTGTGTTTCTCTCTTTCGATGGGATGAAGAGGAATCAGTAACTTACGTACATTCTGGGGACCATAACCGCTCTTATAAGGTAACCCTAATGATACCCTTTAGAAATTACAATTTTGCCCATCATAAAATTGTAATTTCCCCTTTTAGTCTCTACACATTAAAGGGCCACACCATATTTGATACATTAAAGCCCTAAATTACCTTAACTTAATTTATCACTTTTAAAGGGCTTAACTTTATATGACAGTATGCATTGCATTATTATTTCACATATAACCCAACGTTGGATTAAGGATCCAACAATTGCACCTTAATCGAAAATTCGGGTGGCAAATTGGCCGATGTGTCAAATTTAGGGGATTGTTTTATTTTTCCTACTAGCGTTCCCAATAGGAATAAGTTCTTTTTTTCTTTGCTTGTGAGAAATAGAAGAGATTGCGTAGTGCAGTCCGCATGGAGTGAGTTGTGTATTGGACAAAAAAATTGACCGATTGAACTGACATGTGAAAGTTGAAAGCTGGCATGAGTAGAATTTCACCATTACACTGAAGAAATAACTATCGCGAGACCGAAGAAATAACTATTGCGACACTCATGATAATAAATTTACATCGACTTAATTTACAGATCACGTGATTGATAGGAGCAATACAAATTATGAAATATTCTTAATTGGTGCCCTTAAAATCTTTCTTGACAAAATTGCAGGGGGATTGCGCCGAACAGAAACCTAATTCGGTGGTTATCGGGACAATATTGCACGTTGAGCAAAAATTCAGGGACCACGTTGAACAAATTAAAAACTCGGGGAATATGGCACAAATGGTCCCCGAACTTTGACCTAATGTACAACGTGGTCCCTAAAATTTTAATTTGTTCAATGTGATCCATGCATTTTTTGTACATGTTCAATAGTCAATGAATTATACGAAAATGTTCAATGCTGCACTTCAATTAATTCAATATCGGGTACTAAATTGAACTTCTTTCATATAATTCAGGAATTAAATCACACATGTACTAAAAGTTCACGGAACACTATAAAATAAATCAAAAGTTCGGGAATCACATTATACATTAAGTTAAAGTTCATGAATCACATTGAACTAAATTAAAATTTCAAGGGCCACATTATACATTGCATTAGAGCTCGGGGACCATACGTGTTATTTGCCCAAAAAAATCAAACGAGCAGCATTTCTCGGAAGCCACGTCATATCCGAGAGCTCAAGCCTAAGGCCGACACGTGGATCACGCGCTTTGGGGTTTGGCGCGTGGTGGGGGTTTGGGTTCACACGCTTTTGCTTGTTCAAGTCTCGATCGCGCGTCGCCGCGCGCCAGGCGATTTTCTCCTTCTTCTCCTCGCGAGTTTTTGGTGCCGTACGATACTATTACTTTGTTGCATCATTATTAATTTATCACTCATAATTTCCAACCTGCGAACCATCCGAGAAAGAATATACAAACTATTTTCAGCACCGGCAATTTACCTTGTGAAAATCTATTTATTTTTCTATGTTTTAGTGTCGTCTCATTGGCTCGTTATTTCATTAAGATTTTTAATTTTTGTTTTTCTTAGGTAATTACCGATATATATATTAATATATCTCGTCGTATCGCGTGTGGAAAGGTAAAGCTAGATATTGATTAATTGATGTCATTTCGATGTTCGCGTCCGTCGTTGATGATGGCATTCCCCATTTTCGTCCCTCCGTCGTCCTTTTGATGTATAAGAAAAATGTGTGCGGTCGCGGAAATTCTGACAACTTGAAAGATTTTGCTGTCGAAAAGAGTCGTCCACGCAGTCGCCTTTTCTAATCAAAACTTCTTTAATTCGAAAACTTGTTTTCGGAGGGAAATAAAACAGGTGCCGCAGAAGCCAAGTGCAAGTAGGGGGGAAAATTGTCCAAAAATTCATAAACTTATTGTTTAATGGCTAATTCAATCCTAAATTTTTCAATTTTGTCAATTTATTCATAGACATTTTGACGATTTGCCAATATAATCCTCCCGGGCACGTAGGATGCACGGCGTCCAAGTCAGCGATTTCAGCCCAAATTTGGTCCAAAGAGATATATTGGCAAATCATCCAAAGGATTATGACTAAATTGACAAATCGTCGACTAAATTGACAAATCGACAAAATATAGACAAAATTGAAAAATTTATGAGTGATTTGACCATTATACAGTAGGTTTCGGACTTTTTGGATAATTATGCCCTTCCTTTCGGTGGTTGATAGATAGTGTATTGTTGTTGTTGAGTATATGGTGGTTTGTTTGGTTATATGTTCATGTTGATGGACTACAGATGTTATCTTTACTCGGGTAGTCAAAGATCTTGAATTGGACTTGTACGGGTCCAGTCCTCCCTGTTTTTATTGGTTATGCAATACAATGATATTTATTTACGGAAAAAAGATTTCGCCAAATCGCTTTATTATAATGTATTTGAATTATTGGTTAATGAAAAGAAATTATCGACACAATATGAAGAATGGAAAGAGAGAAATATTTTAAGATTTGTACCTTTTCTTGTAAGTATGTTTATAAAGAAAAGATTTAGACATCTAGGCCATGTTTGTTTTGCAGAAAATATTTTTCGAGATAATATTTTCCTCGTTTTTCAGCATTTGGTTCACTTAGGAAAATGAGTCAATGGAAAATATTTTTCTAGTCAGCTAGAAAATGCTCTCTTACAAAGGCTTAAATTCAGGAAAATGATTTTCTTTTTCAAAAATCGAAAATCATTTTAAAAAATATGACTAGATAACGATAGGGGTATGCAAATCGGACCGCCCGAATCGGGAACTACTCGCACCGGACCGAATCAACCAGTTTGATTAGGTTTCCGAGAGTGTCGGTCCAATTTCCGGTTCCTAAAAGTGAAATCGGTGTCCAAACGGTCCGATTCTCGATTCCAAGGGGGAACCAAATCGGACCGACTATATGTATATATTTTTATTTCTTAAAGAGAATTAGTAAAATAGGAACTAAACCCCTCATTCAAAATCTTCATGGAAGTGTCCTAGCACTTGCTGTAGTTTCTCCCTCTTCAAAATTAAAACAGTAAGTTCAACTACCTCCCAATAAATTATGTGAACACTTTAAACATCCGGATGGGACACCTCCTCATGGAAACCATGGAAAATGTCAAGCCAGCTTCTTTTCTAAAACAAAAGCATCTAGTTTTTATAAGAACTAATACACTGCCGTTCAAAAAAAAAATTGATCGGTTCCATTAGACTTGACCGGAATGGTGGTCCAGTCCAGTTCCCGGTCCTAAGAGCAACCAGTCCGGTCCCCAATTCCCAATTTTGGGAACCGATCCTCCTAATTTGGTTCCACCTTGGAGCCGGACCAAATCGAGAACCGATTACCCCTAGGTATTAGCGCTTGGACACGGGAATCCCAATGCTCGTTTCGGGGCCCTCAACAGCAAAGCCGGGTCCCTAGCGCTCGAGCCCAAATCCATCAAGGTTGAGCCCAAGTCCATCTAAGCCACGCCCGAGATCCCGGCAATCATGCTCGAGTCCATCAAGGTAGGGCCTGAGACACCGATGCCCGGAACGATAGGCTTGAACATAACTGACATGGACATCGGCTATCTTACGTGGATAATTTTTAGAATTTTTTTTTTTAAAATCAAACTTTTTAATAATTTTTTATTTTTATTTTATTTTATTTTTTATCTTCTTTTCTTTCTTCCTCCATCGAGCCTTGGCGACGGTCGGCGACCGGCCATAGGAGAGGCCCGGTGAGGCCGACCTCGTTAGCCTCGAGTGAGCCTCTAGCTCGCCACACCGGCCTCAAGCGAGCTCGAGCATCACCTACCTCGGGCGAGCTCGAACCTTGCCCAAGGTCTGACCTCTCCTGTGGTTGGTCGCTAGCCATCACCAAGGTCCAACGACCGGCGGAGGAAGAAAGAAATGAAGAAGAAAAAAGAATATAGTTTTTTTAGAAAAATTGTCCACATCAGCACATATCGTACCGTGGCACGGGTCTAATAAAAAACACAATTCATAATGTAGCATGGAGCGTTCACGGCCTTGGCCAAACAAAGCTTCCGAATTTTGCTCCCTAATAACAAGGTACGTGTCAATTCTTGCAAGGCCCTAATTTTCCTTTCAACGACACCATTTTGCCGTGGGTTGTGAGGAGCATATCCTGCTCAATACCACACTCATCACAACATGATATGCATGAAATGCTAAAGCCATTTTCCTTGGGGCTTTTCTTAGCAAGTTTAGCAAATGCATGCAAAGCATCATTCTCATGATCTAGACAACGAACCCAAGTAAATCTAGGGGAGTCATCTTCACTTGCTTCCCAAGAGGATGTGCAGCGCAAAATTCCTTTTTTTTTCTCAAATTCGATATTTGGTAACAACACAAATTTCTTGTGCCAAAGCCAATTTTCCGCAGCAACGCACAAAAAATAACAATTTTCCTTTAAATGATCAAAATCCTATGAGAAATAATGTAAATGTTCTTATGACCTTTTCCAACAAATTTCCCTTCCGATGTGTTTTTGTCAAGAACAATACATCTATCATGCTCAAAAATAAATTTTGAAACCTTGAAACAAAATTTTCTTGTGCTCAATAAATTATGCTTAAGGTCTTCAACAAGCAAAACATTCTCGATATAACAAAATGTCACCACAAATGGTGCCTCCTTGCCATTAACACAAAATGCCACCTTTAAGCACCCCATGACATACACCTTGAACACTCACTATCGAAGTATCATTTCCTTTTGGCTTGCGATTCAAATTCCTACATAATAAATGTGCTTATTTCAGCTTGTGCAATGTCCGCCGTTGAACATAGATTTGCAGCTTCGGCTTCATCCTCACTAGATTCACTTTCGATGTCGCTCTATGTGGACACCTCTTCATCCGTGCTCGAAAACTCTTCCTCGACGCCATCATCGACCTTTAAGGCGATTGGTTTCTTCTTCTTCCTCCTGGCCTGATTTGCTTTCTCCTCTTCACAAGACATTAAACAGAAAACAACCTCCTCAAAGGCCAGAAGAGTGAAATCGTCTCTTTGACGTATTGAAACCTTTTGCTTGTTCCAATCACCTGTCAAGGATCTCAAGAACTTCGGTATCAGTTCATCAATGGGAATAGTCTTACCAAGAGCGGCTAAGTCGCCGATGATGCCCATAAAGCGAGCGGACACATCCTTGATGCTTTCATCCGGCTTCATCTTGAACGCCTCGTATTTGCCTTGTAATACGCTAATCCTAATCTCTTTAGCGTGACCAGTTCCTTCGTAGATGACCTCCAAACAATCCCATATTTCTTTAGCCGTTGTGCACGAGGAAATTATGCTGAATACGGCCGGAGCAAGTGCACAATAGAGAAGGTGCAATGCTTTTGCATCTAAGGAAACCTTCCTCTCGCAATCCGCCGTGTATTCCGCTTCGCTTTTGGGTGTACCAGGCGACTCGCCGTCCTTCATAGGCACGGAAGGTCCATTTCGGACAATCGACCAAAGTTCGTAATCCTTCGCCCGAAAGAATGCAGTCATCCTACGTTTCCAATGTGTATAGTTGCCACCATCAAACCATGGAGGGCGGCTAAACAAGTCATCTTCGTCCATAGCAGCTCCAACGACGGTTGCCATCGATCTGTGTCTTAAAAGTATATAAGACTTTAGTAATAAGGAGTACCTGCAATAATACCAATCGTTCGGCCCGAATAAGCAACAAAGAGGGGGTGAATTAGTTTTTCAAGAAAACAAAAAACTAATTCTGCAGAACGAATCCCAATAGAAATGTGGCCTCTAAGCACAAAGTGAACTAGTAATACATGTAGCACACTCGAAAGTGACGGAAACTAATGCGATGCATATGCTGGAAATCGAAACGAAATCCGAATTAATCATGCCAGGGAACATGGCTACATGCAAGCAAACAACAAGATAGACCACGGGCCTCTTTGAGGCTCACCGTGAGGCCGGTGCGAGAACAAAACAAGCCCGAATCACCCCGACATACGACCAACGAAGGCCGGCCCGAGATGTCTAAGTAGGAAAACATGGCTGAATTCCTACTGTCCATGGACTGGACAGAGTTGTTCAGCACATAACCACAGAAACAAGCATTCAATACGAGCCAATGCGATGACGAAACTCTGTAAATAGATCAAAACATGCGAGACTACATTGATTATTAACATGTACAATGGAAGTAGAAAAGAAGCAAAGACCCGTAAGAAATCAAACATCCCCTATTCAGACCGCGGATTATTCTGAACAACGCTAGCCAACACTAAGCGAAAGACTTAGTAAGGTGATGGTTACAACCAACACGGTGAGAAGAAAAACTAAACTGAGAATCAACGAGCAAAAGTATGGACAAATATCACGAACGCTGCTACATTCACGGTTCAAAGAAAGATAAATATGCATTTCAGAACTAATCAAGAACAACATGCAGGGGCTCAAGCGTGTGCATGTACACTCAACCAATCGGTTTCATGGCGGAAGAACGTGAATTTGGGTCACAACAGAGCCAGACGCGATCAGTGTACAAGAGGAAATTTCAGGTTCCTGCACCCAGACAACTCCGGATACAACGACAGACAGACGGTGGAAGAGCTGCTCTGGCTGCTGCCACTTCGCTGCTCGTGAATGCGTCCCTTTTTAAAGGAGCGCCAGCACGTTGTCTTTTTCAGAAATTCTCCAAGAAAATCTCATGGAATCATGGAAAATCTCCATGATCTCTGGCGGGTCACGTCTCATTCCTTCGTGTAATCGCAATCACCTCTCTTGCCTTTCTTGAAATGGCCCGTCAAACGGCACGATCGCTTTCCCATCTCGGCAAGAGGGGGAGGTACGGCCTAAAAGTACGGCCACCTAGTTGAGCTTTCAAAACTTTTGAAATTTCGAACTTTGATTTGAGCTTTGTCCAGTCCTCGAGTCTATTTTTCTTTCCAACTTTGCTAAGAGGACAGTAGCGTTATATACAATTAATAACGGTGCAATTCTGACTGTATATTTCTGTTTTACAAGTTAATGGCAACTGGCTCGACTTGTGGATGAATGTAAATGTAAATTTTATGAGATACGAACACCTTACTTACTTCTACAGTGGAACAAAAAGATGAAAAAAAAAAAAGGACAATGACGATCTAAACAATATTTCTTTTCTGGTTCAAATGGGTCATTAAGTTAAAAAAGTAAACGAAAATACTAATGTGGTCGACTGATCATCGTTAGTAGTGATGTAGTGCTAACGTGGCATCTTATGTTGCTTATAGAATAATTTATTAACAGATATAAACAGAAGAAATGTAGAAGAAAATAACCCCCTAATCACTTGACCCGCTTTGGCGCCTAAGAGAATTTCAATGATTTTCATTCACTTGAAAATTTGGATAAGATGGGTCACTGTAGTTATTCTCAAAATCTGATTTGCAATCAAGGAAGAATAGGGGTTTTCAATCATTATTGGTACTTATTATTATTTTGCTTTGAAGAAATAAATTGACTTATAATCCATAAGAAACGACTTAGGGTTAGGTATCACGTGGTCATGTGAGTTTTCTCAATGAACCAAACATTGGAGCTATATTAGGTAAAATTTGTATAGAATTTTATTAAATTAGTATTATCCTTAACTTTAGCGTTGACTCATGCGATCCTAATATTGATCTTGTATTAGTTTCTTGCACATCTTCATTTATGAGATTCGAATGAGCAGGGTAATTTTTTCGTCTACTAATTCATTATTCGTATATTGATCTTTTCTTTATTTCATCTGATATTATCTATAACCGATATCGCTAGTCTTGATTTTAGGTCACCGAAGAGTCCTTTTAGAGCAACTTTACTTTAGTGAAAAGAATGAGGAGCCATATGAATGCACAATGATTACATTATTAATCTCAAAGGTGATATTACAAGTGTTTTTTCATCTTTGAACTTTAATCGATCTTTTTGACAAAAAAAAAACTTTAATCAGTCTTTCTAATGACAATAACAATTTTTTTTACAGGTGATAATATTTTTCTGCTTGGGCAAAAAAACTTTAATTAGTCTTTTTATCCTAGCTATATCTCTCATATATCCCACTTTATCCTGTCTTAGGCAGGCACCAAACACAGGACCAAAATTTTCAAATCGAGTTTCATAGCTGGCCGTGCTCACAAAATTTTTTTAGATGCATTATAATTTTAAAGGAGTTGGCAATTTATTACTTTATTAAAATGTCAATAAAAGCGCCGGTAATTTACTTATGACACAAGTAAATTTTTAACAGAGCCAGCGAGTGACTACTTCATCGGGATGCCGGTAATCCCGATATAGTTGGTAATTTACTATCTATTTACCTCACGTTCAAGTTATCGGTCATGCTCTTTTACCAACGAATGAAATTAGAAATCTACCATTGACGGAAAATTTTCTAGGCTTTAACAAAATTAGACCTGTTAGAAATTCCAACTTAAAAGCTTAAGTTTATAGGTAAAGAGAGACCACATGAATATAAAGAATACATACGACCCATCGTCAAGCGATATGGAACAACATTTCAACACCTCCTCTCACGTGCAAACCAGGTTACGAGCAGCACATGAAATTTGACTAATGAGGGGTGGAGACGCATATTCGTAAAAGGGATAGTACTGGCTCTAATACTATATTAGTAAGTCCAACCGAAAAACTTAAACTTATAGGTGAAGGGATACCACACGAATATAAATAGTATATAAGACCCGTTGTCAAGTGATGTAGAACAATACTTCAATAGGATCCTAAAATCATCAAAAACCACTTTTTCTACCATTAGTTTGAGCTCTTCATTGCATGGTAATCCCACGAGAGGAACCCTAATGTCAATGAATTGAAACATTAAAGCTCTTTTAAAAGGTCATGTAGTGCACATTTTGTACGCAAGTTGGTGAGTGTTTTATTATCAAGAAAATGTTGCGTTTCTTGATTAAAAAACGTTTGGGCCACCTTCATATGGTTTGACTAAGTGATATCGCCATGTTCGAGTATTAACACAGGCAGAAATTCTATAGCGCAAGTCAAACAAGCAAATACAATTTGCCTTTTCTAACTGAGAACAGTTGGTAACCTAACTAGCTTTCGTGCACGAAATAAAGTCCATCCCCTCGCATCAATGGCAAATCATTCACGCCGAGTAAGAAATTTAAAAGGAATCACTTCTTTGTAGCACGACCTTGTATGATCGTGCCAAGAAGGTACTGAACCCGAGACCTCACGCTTCTAGTGGTAAAAAAAATTCAGTCGGCTTCATCATTCAACTAGCTCTTTCACATAAATTCCATTGACCTTTTCCCCATGTGGTTTGGCCATATTCATAGTTTTGTCTTGTTTTCATGTGAGATGTTACTGTTTTATGATGATCTTGTACAGAAGAGAGAAAAAGAAGAGAAGAGAGACACTCCATAATTAACCTGATTTAGATGACCAAAAGTATAATCCCTCGGAAGCTTACTTCATCTTCTTTTTTTTTTTTTTTAATGATTCATTATCTTTTACTAGAGAGTAATATAATGAGTTACAGTCATTAATTTGGTAACTACAGCTATTGCAAATTCTCCTACTATATTGGGATTAGGACGATCTGTAATTCTTATCGTGCCAACCGTTACACTGAACTCAATCCATCACAAATCAAGCGATTCAAGTCACCAGATACAAGGTAAACATGGGGCAACTTATCCGACTGTAGCTAATCCATAAAGGTATGAACGTACCCAAAGAACTCATCTGTTTACACATATAGAAGTTCTTGACTACTTCTTGAGTATCATCTCCAGGAATCCCATAATGCTTCATTCAAAACCCTAAGTAAACATTACTTTATGGCTAGAGCATAATAGTATAACCATCCAATGGTGCGATTACTCTACGACAAATCCGACAGAAGTCACCTAACATGCCATTGAGATTGCCCAAAATTCATATTTTATGGCAAAAGGTGGTGAGTGTTTTCAAAGCCTCCACACCTCAAAAAAGTCCTCGACACTCACGATCTCATCGTACGTGAGAAAATCTCAGCCAGCTCTTCACAAAATTATTTGTTTTCCTTATGTGTATTTCTTTCGTTGAAAATTTCATAACAAAAAAAATATATTCCGTGAAAATCATTTTCGAGGAAAATATTGATTTTCATTCAATTGGTGATTTAGAAAAAATGATTTCCTTCTTACTAGAAGGGGAAGTCGTTTTCCCTCAATCTAAACTTGTTGCTTTATTGCATGAAAAACGTTTTCTGTACATCGATTAATTTTCCGTTATCCGAATACCGGAAAATTAAAATAACTATCTTTTAGAAACAGCTTTCCTTCGCGAAAAATAAATGATTTGAAAAACATTTTTCAAAAGATAATTGTTTATATCGTTCAAAAAGATGATCTTAATTGTTTACAAAAATGTTTAGATATAAATCGTTGTCGATAATGAAATATTTATTTATTAATTAATTATTTCAAGTTATACAAGCAATGCTTTGCAAGAAAATATTTTGCAAACAATTCATTTTCCGCGAAACACATGAAGTCTTAATTGAAACTTTCCTTCTTTCTATTCATAGTTTCTTCATGATCAAGATTATTTGGTCAATTGTTCGACAATGTTTCAGGAAATTCTGGTCCAACCAAACACATCATTGATCACCTCTCCTCGTTTCAAATCCACCGACGGCGATTCATCACCTGTCTGCGAAACATCAATTGGTTTTCCTCTCCCTCTAGAGCATCCATTAGTTGCCATTCGGGTCACTTTCATCACATGCAACTTGTCGACTCTTGAAAGTGCCACCTTATCCACTTTTTCTAAGTGCAGAAGAATAGTGTGAATCTTTTCTCATGACGAGAAAGCCTCCCTTAGAAAGGCAAATCCCCAGCCCGCGATATACCCAAGGTCTCTACTGATTTCGTGGACCCGGTAAGGCGTGAGCCGAAACGGGAGGAGTAGGTGGTCGGATTATGGAATGGAATTGTTCTACACAGAAATGTTTTCACGCCCACATTTTCGTTCCTTAACTGCTGTGCCGACCCCACGGAATTGAGAGTTATTAACTAGCAAGGGTGCATAGACTCGAGACTAGTCATGTAGGCTCAATTGGCACACTAGAGCATCTCTTGGCATATGCAATTGGCAAAAGAAGGAAAAGTGCTAACTAGTCCTTCTCAACAATAGTTGCACCTTCCACTAAATTTATGTGTA